TTCTGCTGTCATTATAATCAACTGTAACACAGTCAGAAGCCATAGCAATACACACCTAATTGTGTTCTGCTGTCATTATAATCAACTGTAACACAGTCAGAAACCATAGCAATACACACCTAATTGTGTTCTGCTGTCATTATAATCAATTGTAACACAGTCAGAAGCCATAGCAATACACACCTAATTGTGTTCTGCTGTCATTATAATCAATTGTAACACAGTCAGAAACCATAGCAATACACCGAATTGTACCAGTTTTCATTTTTGTTATAAACAGGAAATATCCTCATGAACAATCTAAAAGTTGACAAAAGGTTCATTGATTATCATTTTAGATCATAAAAGCAATAGTAAATGAAATACAAAAACTTATGAGATATTAGTTTTACAGAAGCATGTAGTTATTGGCCACTTTTGTGACTATGGGCTGAAAATTGTTCAGATAAATGACAATTATAAACTTCAAAGTTTTCAACTACCAAATTTGTACAACATCTATTGCTGAAGATAACTGCTTTGTTAAGATATCTAAGACCAGTTGATCAAACCTGAAGTATATTCCACATACCTTGATCAAGATCACCATATCAACAAGATCCTTGCCATCCCATTTGTCGAATGGATGAAGAAGCTGAAGTCTCTGACTCTTGGGATCAACATCTACGGCTATATTAGAGCCATCTTCTGGTGGAGCTACATAGGTATCTTCACCGGGATCAAATCCCTGCATCGGCAAGGTGTCACCATACGGACTTTTTAGTTTAAACTTTTGCCCTAAAAAAGGTTCATTATTTCAATACTTAAAATCAATATTCAAAATATATAGTGTACTTGTCAAAATTTACACACAAAGCACAATGCTAATAGCTGATAGTAGTTTCGACATGCAAAATGATAAGTTTTTTTGTATTACAACGAGGATACAAACTGCACTTATTAGCAGGTTAATTTTACTCAAACATAAGGAACTTGATTAATAACTAGAATGTTTTCAAAATGACTTGTTATTTTATACAACTTCTTTCAATGTATTTACCACCTCAGTCTATCCGATTTGTGAAACACATTTTGGAACTTTGTTGACCGAGTGTATCCAACAGGCATAGCTTAGAGCAGTGAGAGCTATATAATCAACAACTCTTACCTAATATCGTTCATTTTTATTTTGTAAACCTACCATTAGCTCCGGTCACCTCGTCTGTCAGAGGGTTGAAATCTAACCGTCCTGCGATAGAAAGGGCCGTAACCATTTCAGGTGATGTAACAAAAGCGTGAGTTGCAGGGTTGGCATCATTCCTTCCTGTGAAGTTTCGGTTGTACGAGGTCACGATAGTATTCTTTTCCCCCTTACTAACATCTTTCCTGTGGTAATCAAATGAACACGGATGTTAAATTGAGGACAATACAGGTCACAATAGTATTCTTTTCCCACTTACTAACATCTTTCCTGTGGTAATCAAATGGACATGGATGTTAAATTGAGGACAATACAGGTCACAATAGTATTCTTTTCCCACTTACTAATATCTTTCCTGTGGTAATCAAATGGACATGGATGTTAAATTGAGGACAATACAGGTCACAATAGTATTCTTTTCCCACTTACTAACATCTTTCCTGTGGTAATCAAATGGACATGAGGACAATACAGTAAGTTTAAAAGTAACAGAACATGTAGAAGTCCTTAACTAAGTTATAAAATACTTACTGAAATAATGACATTACTTCTAAAATAAACAGGACATGGATGTTAAATTGAGGACAATACAGTGTGTTTAAAAGTAACAGAACATGTAGAGATCCTTAACTAAGTTATAAAATACCTACTGAAATAATGACATTACTTCTAAAATAAACAGGACATGGATGTTAAATTGAGGACAAGACAGTGTGTTTAAAAGTAACAGAACATGTAGAAGTCCTTAACTAAGTTATAAAATACCTGCTGAAATAATGACATTACTTCTAAAATAAACAGGACATGGATGTTAAATTGAGGACAATACAGTAAGTTTAAAAGTAACAGAACATGTAGAGATCCTTAAGTAGGTTATAAAATACCTGCTGAAATAATGACATTACTTCTAAAATAAACAGGACACAGATGTTAAATTGAGGACAATACAGTGATGTTTAAAAGTAACAGAACATGTAGAGATATTTAACTAAGTTATAAAATACCTGCTGAAATAATGACATTACTTCTAAAATAAACAGGACATGGATGTTAAATTGAGGACAATACAGTGTGTTTAAAAGTAACAGAACATGTAGAGATATTTAACTAAGTTATAAAATACCTGCTGAAATAATGACATTACTTCTAAAATAAACATGACATGGATGTTAAATTGAGGACGATACAGTGTGTTTAAAAGTAACAGAACATGTAGAGATACTTAACTAAGTTATAAAATACCTGCTGAAATAATGACATTACTTCTAAAATAAACAGGACATGGATGTTAAATTGAGGACGATACAGTGTGTTTAAAAGTAACAGAACATGTAGAGATCCTTAAGTAGGTTATAAAATACCTGCTGAAATAATGACATTACTTCTAAAATAAACAGGACATGGATGTTAAATTGAGGACGAAACAGTGTGTTTAAAAGTAACAGAACATGTAGAAGTCCTTAACTAAGTTATAAAATACCTGCTGAAATAATGACATTACTTCTAAAATAAACAAGACATGGATGTTAAATTGAGGACAATACAGTGTATTTAAAAGTAACAGAACGTGTAGAGATATTTAACTAAGTTATAAAATACCTGCTGAAATAATGACATTACTTCTAAAATAAACAAGACATGGATGTTAAATTGAGGACAATACAGTGTATTTAAAAGTAACAGAACATGTAGAGATCCTTAACTAAGTTATAAAATACCTGCTGAAATAATGACATTACTTCTAAAATAAAC